CTCCTGGGTGCAGATCTGGTCTAGGCTGACAGCAAGCATTTGGGGAGTCTGTGCAGAGCGGGTCCAGGGCAGCCTGACAGCTGCAGCTGTGGGGAAGGCAGCCTGAGATGCAGGGGGAGGGACGGTCCCCCGATGGGGTGGGAACAGTCACCCGGAAACAGAAGTTGGGAGGAGGTAGCTCATTGGCTGGGTGTAGAATAAGGATGGAGAGGGATGGGGTAGAGTGGTGACGTAAACCGAAGCTGGGGTAAAATTTGCGTGAACACTGGAAATTTGAACTGTGGAAGCAAAGCCAGCAGTGACAAGTGCCCATTCTCTGCCGTTGCTCCGGGTCCTGCACGGTGTGGAATCCTGTGCTGCAGATCTGGGTGGGGAGGGCACGGCGGGTGCCGCGGGGACCTGAAAACTCCGGAGTCTCAGTCTCCACGCGGGGCGGCCTGGGAAAGTGACAGTCAGCAGCGCAGTGGCGGGAACCGCAGCCCGGCGGCCCTGGAACCTCCCAGGTGAGAGGAGCTGCGGGGCTGGGACCCAGGAGGGAGGGGACCCGGGGTGCGAGCAGTTTCTCTGCTGTCACTAAGGAAGCCAGCTCTGAAATTCTGCTGTGAATGTCTTTCCTTTATCGGTAAATTTTCGATCGTAATAACTCGAACAATCCTGGATTTTTTTTCTCCCAAATATCTTATGATACTGACATTTTCTTATAAAGAGTAATTGAGTAGAGTGAATTTATCTGTTGAGATTTGCAAGCATGACAAAGCTCTTGAAATTTACAATCATCCATACTTACTTCCGCGTTAAACACTTCCCTATTCAAGAGAGTGGCATTGGATCCGGGGACTTGGATTTCCTGTGGACTTTTAGATACTAATCATGAAAGGAAAGCATGGAAATTTCATTGAATCTGGAAGTGTTTTTGTTTGTTTGGTTTTGTTTTGTTTGGTTTGGTTTTTGCTAGTTCCTCAAGTATGGTTGTAAACATTAACCTTTAAAAATAAACTTTTTAATCCATCATAAATTTCCCATCTGAGACATATGCTCTCTGTGCTGTAAATACAGCCTGGTGGCATACAACTTTAATCCCAACATTCAGAAGGCAGAGAGGTAGGCAGATTGCTTTGAGTTGGATGGAGACCAGAGAGGTCTACAAAGTGAATTCCAGGACAGCCAGAGCTCCATGGTAAGATCGTGTGTCAAAAAAAAAAAAAAAAAAACAAAAAAAAACAAGAAAATTGATACAACAACAACAACAACAAAATAACAGAAAGGGAAAAATAGACAAAGAAAAGCACAGTATGCTGTTTCATGGTGTCAGATCACAGTATTTTCACAGCTAGAAAAGGCGTTATAAACCAGGTAGTGGTGAGTGGTACTTGCCTTTAGTCCCGCCACTGGAGAGGCAGTCTCTTGGATCTTGAAGTACCTTGCTAGCCTGGTCTGCAGAGTGAGATTAAGGACAATCAAAGAAAGAAAAAGAAAAAAAGAAACTAAAAGGTATAATAGTGGTTTCTACTGCTCCCTGAGGCCATGGTGACATTCTAGACCCTGCTGCTTCCCAGGACCATGTCTGGATCTATGGTGCTAACACTACGATGTCTGTGACCCATTTTTCCACCAATGATGATGACCCAGATACAGGTTTTGTTAGGGATTCTTCCCAAACTGCTCTGCAAGTGTGTGAATTTTGTTTGAGTCTCAGCTTGTCACATAGTAAAGTGAAATCCTCATACAGAAAAAGAGAAATTTCACCAAATTTTCTCCCTTCTTCATTTGTATCCCTTTGGGAGGTGTCAGGCTTCATAATTTCTGCTCCATGATGAATTCATAGTGTCACTAGTGCATAATAGTCTCATCCCAATCATTCAGTACCCTATCTGCTTCTGCGTTTTCACTGAGTTGAGCTTGGAAGTGAGATTCAAGGCACAATAACTAAAAACACTTCTGAATTTTTTTTGGTATTCTCACTCTGCAGGACAGTTGGGGAATCATCCGTCTATTCCAATGCTTCATTTTCTATTTATCTCCTGTGCACAGTACTGTATTAGAAATTTGGTTGCTTTCTGAAGAGTATTTTTCTGACCTGCAAGGCTCATCGATCTGCCACAGCTGCTTACTTGTGGAGAAGAACAGAGGCCTGGTAGATGGAGACAGAGGAGACAGTTAAAAGTTCCAGGTATGCCAGAGAGATTGCTTAAGGGATGGCAAGGGGTTTGAGTTAACATATAAGCAGGACATGAAATAAGTTTTGCCACATTCTGTTTCACTAGATGTAACTCTGAAGACTGACACTGAGATGATCTCAGGATTATCCTAATGTAGGTATGAGAAGACTTTCTATAGAAGAACTGATAATAGAGGCAAGTAAAATTGTATTTGACTAAGTGTGTGAGTGATGCTGTTCTTACTCCACTCACCTCATTGACCATGTCTTCACACCATTATTGAATGATTCTCAGCTCTATGATCTTAATATAAAATGATGAAAATTAATTCCTCTAGTTTTATTCATTGTTTTCAGACTTTTGGAGCTTTTGGTATTCTAGCACGTTTTCTCCATTTTAGTGTTGATGTCTCTGTTCCTGAAAATATCGCCAATAGAATTTTGATGAGAATCAGGAAGTACATTTACAGCCTGCTACACTCCATCTGTACTGGCTCCTATTGTCTGCTGGAAATTAGGATAAATGTTTAGAATGCAGTAAGGGCTTATGCTGACTTAGGAAAGTAGTGGTTGTAGGTTCTCCTCCAAGATCTGCGCCTTTCCTAGCCCTGGGAAAACTGGCTAGGTTTCCAGTACCTGGAATGTTTGCATTCTTGTTGGGAAGGTCTTAATCCAATTAGAAGCTGTTGGTTACCACCAAGTTACCCCCAGGGCTGTCATGCAGTGTAGATCATTGTTGCGGTTCCTGGGTGTCCTAGCTTGGTAGGACTGTTGGCTGGCTCCCTCCTTTGGAAGGCTGCATATTTTCTTCTGTGTACCATGAAAGCTAGTCCCCAGGGAGAAGGCTTTAAGATAAGTTCCATTTGGAGTCTAAGATGTGTGTCTGAAGTGTGTGGCATCTTCAACAACAGGGACTCAACTTCTACCTCTGGGACGCCCCCATGAGCAACAATAACAGTATACAATGATTTGAGATTCTCTTGGACAGCTGTGACCAACAACTTCAAAGCAATCTTCTTATGCTTGGTATGTGGTATATTTGTAAAGAAACCAGGAGCCAGGTAGGCTCATCCCTTTAGAGAGGGCAGATTCATAGTAGCGATGGGAAGAAAAGTTTTAAGTATCATTTGAGTTTTTAAAACAGCTGGAACGGTCTGTTTACGCACAAGACTAATGCTATTCTGCTTGTTAGTGAAACTTGTGCTGTTATTTAAATGAGGAGCAACAGGAACTCCGAAGCTCCAGACCTAAAGGTAGTTACTTTGGAGGTTTAAGGCAGAATTGAACTCTACCTCCCTTGAGAAAAGAAAGCTTTTCGGAACAGGCAGGGATCAGAAATGGGAGAGCCTTTGTTTATGTTAGACATAACAAGGAATGCCAATCAGGATTGTAGTGTATTGGTAGTTTTGTTTGTTTGTGGGGTTTTTGTTGTTGTTTTGTTTTGTTAGACCCTGAGCAGCTCTGTCTCTTTAGGAGAGACCACAGAGACTTCAACATGTGATTTATTTATATCATCTCTTAAGCCATTATTCTGATCAATTGACTGTTGCATTGTAGATTTTGTTTGACTATATAGTAAGAAGGAAAATTATATAAAAAGAGCACTTAAAGAGGGCTGAGGGGAAGAAGTTCTTCATCCTTAACAAAGCACTAAGAAGTTCTTATAACCAGTACCCTTCAATGAGGGCTGTCTGAGAAGTGGTTGATTAGCATGTGTCTTTGGGAAGCTTCCAAAAGGGTCCTTTTGGGGAGCTACCTCGGGGAGGGAGGGGTTGAGGAATTTTTCTTTTACTCACCATCAACAAAACTCAGATTCTGCAGTTACTTTCTCAGCGAGATCCTGCTGTAGCCAACAGACTAGGGACTGTCTCTCAGGAAAACAGTATCTCCCAGGACAGTTCCCGAATTTACCTTTCTGATTCCCTGTATTTCAGGTGTCAAAAATATCGCGGGTTCAGGCTGGATGCTTAAAGCAGGTGGATAAGGGTTAAAAGGTCAGGCTGGATGCTTAAAGCAGGTGGATAAGGGTTAAAAGGTCTGAGGGCTAATGAATCAGTTCATACACATATCATTCTTTTCAAATCTCTTTATTTTTCAAGAAATGTTCTTCTCCTCAAAAGTTCTCTCTCTAAAAGCTCTCTTAAAAGTTCTCTTAAGATCTAAAAGTTCCTTCTAAAAGTTCTTTCTCTCGAGGTCCTTCTTAAAAATTCTCCAAAAGTTCCTTCTAAAAGTTCCTTCTAAAAGTTCTCCAAAAAGTTCCTTCTATCCCACAAGGCTTCTAGTTTTTATATCCACACACATACTTAACTCTCTGACTGTAGGGTATGCATAATCTCTTAGAGCCAGACAGGCAGACAGAGTCTTGAGAAGAGCAGGTATCTCTCTACTTGGACATGACTTGTGTACTGTCCTGGCAAACTTAAGTCTCAGGGGGTCATGACTTGCATCACATGCTGTTAACTGATTAAAGGGGAATTCTCAGCGCTATATCAAAGGGAAAAACTAAGGCTATGCAGTGTGAGAACAGGAGGCTGCAGCTCTTACTGCTGGCTCCCCTGTGAGAAGGAATTTCCTTTCTCTGGGGCCTATTAGTGAATATAAAGCACCCAGCATATATTCTACATACAGCCAAATTCATAGTAACAAATACTCTGTAGTTGATGACTAGAATATTAATTGCTACTTCTGTAATAAATGAATAAAGGCACACAGCACTCGTATTTGTCTATTCTTCACATGAAAATTATTTTTTCCATATTCTCATGGATGATTTCTCTGACACTCCTGTGTGTGTTTTGCCTCTAATTTATTGTCTACAGTGCTGCTTTAATGAAATCAATTGTGTTAACTCAAGACTATCTTTAAGTGCACTTGTCCCCATCAATTTTAAGAGAGTAGTTTCCTACTTTCTTAAGCATCTATAAGATGCTTGATGGTGAGTTTTCTCTTCAAGCTTCAAATGTCTTTCCATGCTCTCCTTACTCTGGGATCATTAACCAGACACCTGGTAGTATTCTGTTGCATGGATCTTTTTATGTTGACATTGTTCTCTAACAGCTTTCAGTGTTAATTCTAATCTTTCTTTCTGACCCTTTGATTTAAAAGGGGAGCAAGCCATCTATTCATTGTTCCTGAAAGAGAAACTCAAAGAAGAGAAACAGTAAGAACTGGCTGATTCTCCAGTAAACATGTCGCAGGTCAGTGCTCCTTCCCACTCTCTGAAAATGTTCTACTTTGATACATTGAAAGCCTTTAATTTTCTATTTCTGATCATTTTTAAAATTTTATTATGAAAAATGTTGCAAACAGACAAACCAAAAATCTCACACTACAATTAAGCAGACCCAAAGACTATACAACTCAATGTATCTTTTATACAGTTAGAGTCATCACAGGGAACAGAAGCTCTGGAGACCCACATCGGGTTTTATATTTCACAATCGAATATAGTTTTATTTACTTAACCACCACAACCTGAAAGACCTTTGACAGAATTAGAACTAGAAAAGCACTTAGCTTTATATCCTTTTTCCATAACTGGTATTCATTGCCTGCATTCAGTCCTTGATAATTTAACCTTACCTTTTCTCTTCTCCATGTTATGTTGTTCCCACATATGCATTGTTTCTAACTACATGTATTATTGGGTAGATTCTGCATATGAGTGAAAATGTGGCATCTTCTTTCTAAAAGTGTATGACAGAACTTAATGTTATGAATTTTGGGTCTGTCCATTTTCCTACAGATTTTTATTTTAGTTTGATTCCAGTACTTTCCTTTGGTGATTAAACCAGTAGTAAACATGGGTATAAATCTCTCTATAGTGGGGTGTGTTGTTCTCTGTGGCTATGGCCAGGAGTGGAAGAACTGGGTTACATGTTAGTTCTCTCTTCAATTTTTTTTTTCAGTAATCTCCAAACTGATTCCTATAATTGCTGTGTTAATTTGAATCCTCCTCTCCATCAACAGTGAATAGGGCTTCCTTTCCTCCATATCCACTCAGCATTTGTTGATAGGTTAGATAAGGATAGCCATTCAGCCTGGGGTGATGCATTATTTCCAAGTGGTTTTAATTTGTGTTTCCGTGATGGCGTTTTTTGGGATCCTGAACACTTTTTTGAATTTTTATTGGCCATTATGGTTCTCTCTTCACAAAGTGTCTGTTCAGTTCAGCTGCCTATTTCTCGATTGTCAGCTTTGTTTTCTTGGTATTTAATTTCTATATCCTTGGTAAATGCTAGGTATGAGCCCCTATCCAAAGCATCACTGGTACAGATTCTCTCCCATTACTTATTTTCATATAGTCCCATCTGTTACTACTTAGATAAGTTCCTGTGTTGTTGGTATTCTTTCTAATTAGTAAGTTCTTGCCCATCCCAATATCCTCATGGTATTCCCTATGTTTTCTAGATTTCTGTGTTTCTGGTTTGAAGTAAGGCTTTTGATCTGTTTTGAATGAATTTTGCCCAAGGCAAAAAATAAAAATCCAATTTCATTCTCCTGCTAGATCCAGTTTGGTCATCGACATTTATTGAAGAGGCCATATTTTCTTTAAAGTAATTTTTAAAAATTTATTTAATTTTATTATATGTGCATTGGTGTGAAAGTATTTATGACTACAGATTTATAATATCATTCCATAAGTCCACACTTAATATCACTTTTCTCATTTTTCTGCTTCCCAGATTATCCCTTCTAACCCCAGGGCAAATATATCTCACATGAACTTATGACTAGAAATCCATTATAGAATGTTACCATATTTGAAATGAGCTTTTTGAGTAATTGTATTCGTTCCTCTGCATCCCGTCTCATTGTATTCAGGAAAGCACTCTTCCCGGAATCATGATATCAAACTGTACCTTCTGTTTCAGCGTCTGTTGACATTTGGGGATGTAGCTGTGGACTTCCCCCAGGAGGAGTGGGAATGCCTGGACTCTGCTCAGAGGGCTTTGTACATTGATGTGATGTTGGAGAATTACAGCAACCTGGTCTCTGTGGGTGAGAGCATTTTGCTTCTAGAATTCCTAACTAATCTTTTGTATGTACTGGCATTATATGTTGTTATGTTGTAAACTCTTTGTTAAGCTGTCCTTGAAAGTACAGGAAACTGAGAAATTTTGATAGTAGAACTTTTTCATAGTATTTTTTTCTTTTCATTTTCCATTTTCAAGGTGTCATGTACCATTCATTTTAGATTCCAAAATACATTCGGAAACTCAGCATAAAATATTTCCACCAATTTCTTAAAGCCCCCATGTCCTTCACTGTATTTTACATTGTTTTAATTGTGGAAATAAACCTCTAGATACGCAAACAGATACTTCTCCCTAACTATGCTGAAGATTCTGTCAGGAAATAGCAATAGGCAATCATTCCTGTATTCTTCTACTTTGTGTTCTCTTCGTGTAATGAGCAGAGTACTATGTAAATGTCTGTATCTACAAATTTTAGGATGGGTTATGGGCTACCTCACAGAGCACATGGGTTATTGTATGTAAGGTAGGCCTGTTTGGTCACCTGCCTGGAGAGAATGAGATTGTCCTGGAATATGGAAAAGAATGAGTAATCACAACCAGGGTAGTCTAGTGAAAGAGAAAGCAGGAGCTGAGAATGTTTTTGTGATGTTCAGTTCCACTAGAAAGGGTCTTTTAACTTACTGTAGTGTTCTTGCATCAGGATGCATCCCATCTATTGTAACTGTTAGAAGACATTGTGTCTATTGCACCTGTATTATGGTGACTTCATACTAATACAAAATGTAATTTTATATGACTATACTGACATCAGACTAGAATAATTTTACAAATTATAAGCCTAATGTGAGTCCAAGAAATAGGATTATTCTATAATTGCCTCCCGTGTATGCATATCTTTATATGATATCCTTTATTCTCTTGCCAGTGGAGAACATACAGACACCCTTCTGGAAAATAGTCTCAGGAGTCAGTGTACAGAGTAGACTTGAGAATAACCCTATGAAGAAAGTTAAGAAGCACAGTGGTGGTGTGTGGAGCTCAGAGAGTAGAGGATAAAATTAAGCAATAGCGTCTCATGACATCCCTGCCTCAAACCATATAGTGCCTCTGGTTTCTGGCAGAATACTGACTTTGCATCCATTACTTTTCAAGAGTCTAATGCCTTGTTTTAGAAAATAATAAAATGAAACCTTTGATACTTTTAATAGGCCTTAATCTTAGGTAGAACTGGGCTATAAGTGTGAATACTGTGAACCTGGGATTGGATTACACTCTTTTTCATCAATTTTACAGAAAAAAGTATTTTAAAATATAAACATGTATTTTTAATATAATCAGTCAGTGAGCTGTATCCCAAATCTAATTACTTATTCTCAATTATTTTTCCATGTCTTTCCAAGTTAGACATTTTCAATAAAGAAGTAATGTCTGTTATAACACACTGATTTTTCAGGGTTGTCATGCTGTGTTTGTGAGAATCCATACAGTTACAGTGAATGAAAAAATGTCCATTACTGGGAACCCTAATATAAATAGTTCAAGATTCACTTATTTTAAAAGAGAACTTAGGGAGACAGTGTTTATCAGTGTTTAATCTTGGAACAAACCCTATTAATATGACTTGTACTCATTTTCAGAGAACTATTGCAAATGTGATCCTGTCTATCAACATGTGAATAAAGAAAAAAAGTCTTCTCAATGCAATAAGTCTGGCAAATTACTTCATGACTCCTCCATGTGTGCACTTTATAAAACAAGTGAAACTACAGAGAACCCTAGTAACTACAGATGCACTAACCACAGGGATGCCTGTAATGACTCATCAAACCCAGATAGACATGAAAATATGCACACCGGAGAAGAACCTTGCCAATCTAAAGACTGTGAGAAATTTTTAAATTTGTGTTCCAACATTACTCAAGATCAGAGACTCTACACTGAAAAGAAAAAGCACAGGCAGGAAGAATATGATGACTATTTCGCCTCTGTATACAGTCTTTTGAAACAACCAATCTACATTGGAGAGACACCACACCAGTGTGGGAAATGTGGGAAATGCTTCAGTACTGCCTCAAGCCTAACTGTACATGAGAGAATTCATACTGGAAAAAAACCTTACAAGTGCAAATTTTGTGACAAATCATTTAACCAGTGTGCAAATCTTAAAACACATCAAAGACTTCATACTGGGGAGAAACCTTACAGTTGTAAAGAATGTGGAAAGTCATTTCCTCAGTTGTCAGCTCTTAAAAGCCATCATAAAATGCATACAGGAGAGAAGCCTTACAAATGTAAGGAATGTGACAAGTCCTTTGCCCACTGTTCCAGTTTCAGGAGACATCAGAATATCCATGCTGCTGAGCAACATTACACTTGTCAAGAATGTGGCAAGGTCTTTCATCAGCTTTCACACTTTAAAAGCCATTACAGACTCCATACTGGAGAGAAGCCTTACAAGTGCAATGAGTGTGACCGAGCCTTTACCCACTATTCATCATTTAGAAGACATCAGAAAACTCATTCTCTAGAGAAATTTAATGAATGCAAAGAATGTGGTAAGTCCTTCCTTGAATTATCACATCTTAAAAGGCATTACAGAATCCATACTGGTGAAAAGCCTTACAAATGTGAGGTATGTGACAAATCCTTTACTGTGAACTCAACTCTCAGAACACATCAGAAAATTCATACTGGGGAGAAACCTTACAAATGTAAGGAATGTGACAAATCCTTTATCAAGTACTCACATCTTACAAGACATCAGAGTGTTCACACTGGAGAGAAACCTTACAGATGTAAGGAATGTGACAAATCTTTTACTGAGTTTTCAACACTTAGAGAACATCAGAAAATTCATACTGGAGAGAAACCTTACAAATGTGGACAATGTGACAAATCTTTCATCCAGCGTTCAAATCTTAGAATACATCAGAGAGTTCATACTGGAGAGAGACCTTACATATGTAAGGAATGTGGCAAATCTTTTACTAAGTGCTCAACTCTTCAAGCACATCAGAAAATTCATACTGGAGAGAAACCTTATAAGTGTATGGAATGTAACAAATCCTTTACCCAGGACTCACATCTTAGAACACATCAGAGAGTTCATACTGGAGAGAGACCTTACAGTTGTAAGGAATGTGGCAAATCTTTTACTAGGAGCTCATATGTTAAAGCCCATCTGAAAATTCATACTGGAGAGAAACCATACAAATGCAAAGACTGTGACTTTTCCTTTATCCAGATGTCAAATCTTAGGAGACATCAAAAAATTCATACTGGAGAGAAACAATCCTTTGTAAATAATGTGACATAGCATTTTCCAATATTCTCTGCTTACAGATCACAACAGTATATAAGAGAAACATAAAGATAAGAAACTTGTGAACGTCTTTAATGAAGGTTTAAATTTTTAAAAAGTCCCAGAGTTTATGTTAAAATAAAATTTTGCAAATATAATCATGAAGATAGCTTTTTATTTCTTTCAGTTTGTATGCTATTTTGCCTGCGAGTATGTCTGTGAAGTAATTATATGTATGCATGGTGTAAGCAGTGCACAGAAGGTCCATCAAATCCCCAGAAGCAGGAGGTATGCACTGGTCCCGTGGAAGAGCGAACATTGCTCTTACCTAATAAGCAATTTCTCCAGCTTATACTAAAAAAAAAAAAAGTAATGAAAACATTTATCTTGTTCAACATTCAAAAATTCAGAGTAATGCCATGTGTGCTGGTGCACTCCTTAATTTTCAGCACTCAGGATGAACAGGCAAGAAGATCTCTGTGGCTTGGAAGACTTCATCATCTTTTTTTTATATATATATAATTTTTTTATTTAATTTTATATAACAAAGTCCAATTAAATGAAAACAAACATTTATACACAATATTTGGGAATTTGGGCGTCGTTCTTTCCAAACTACTTCCTGCTGGTAAGGGGTGCTGTCTTGGGGGATTCGAAGAAGATTCAGATATCCTAGCTGTAAAGACTTCATCATCTTAAGTTCCAAGACAGCCAGGACTACATAAACTCCTTGTCAATCCCAAAAACAAATCCTAATAACAAAAAAAAAAAAAAAATGGCAAAACTATTAGTTTTCCTTTTAATTGTGATATCCATCACAAAATTCATTCTTCTGAGAAACCATATAAAGGTAGAATAGATATTCCCCATGTCTTTCTGTCCATGTAAATTAGACCTCCCCAGAAGCATTGAATTTGACAAATCCTTTACAGAGGACTGACATTGCACAGATAAAGGAAATTCACCATGAAAGAAAACACTGGTAAATTCTTTTATTAACCTTCAAATTATTCATACTAGAGTCAAATACCAATTGCAAGAAAATAACTAACTTTCAAGAGATAGGCTGTGAATGTGACATCATTAAAATGCTGGCATACAACTTAGAAATCCCCAAAGACTATGGATGTGGATTTGGTGACCAGCTATCTGGAGGCAGAGATGTATCCCTGTGGGTTCTATCCCAGCATTGTCTACATTGCCAATTCCAAGTCAGCCACAGCTAAACAAAGAAACCCTATCTTGAAAAATCAAACAATAAAAAGAAAAAGCCCTGAGGGCATGCAGGATTTTGTTTTGAAGTACTTAGGAAAACTTGGGAAGAATTTACTTGAAACACTATAATAAAATGATACAGCTTCCATTGACTGCCAGTATACATTCAGTAAGGTAAAGGAGAATTATAGGACCAACCCTCAGCAACGATATAAGAGTAATTGGTAATTGCCCCAATATTACACAGTTGCTTATTCTTGGTATCTTTTGGACAGTTATGAGTCTGTACATTACCAACTGCATATTGCAAGAGAAGACTTCTTTCACCAATGTTGACAGTAGTACAAAGTGGTCATTTTAAATGTGAATATTGAGATAGCAGATTAACTCTCATGGTCATCAATAGGTTCTTCCCTACAACCTTTAGTTCCCAAGTCATGTTCTTTTTGTTGTTGTTGTTTTTCCATGGCATGAATTGCTCTCTGTGGTTTAGGCTCAAAATCCATTCAAGACAGTTTGTTCATGTCCATAAACAGTGGTACCTGTTTGCCCCAGGATACACATCTTGGCTAGAAGGTTGGTGAGATGAGGGCTCTATGATGGCATAAAAGTTATCAATCTTATTATCAGGCAAGGACATTTAAGGTAGCCTTTCCACTGTTGCTCAGATTGTTAGTTAGAGTCATTCTTGTAGCACTCTGGACATTTCTCTAGAGTCAGTTTTCTCTTCAAACCTATAATAGTTTCTCTCCCTCTCTCCTTCTCTCTCTCTCTCTGTCTCTCTCTCTCTCTCTCACCTATTTGTCCCACAACTCAATTTTCCTGGTCCCACATGTTCTTCTCTCCTCCCATTCTCTTTTTCCCAACTCCCTCTCCACTCACTGCCCCCACTCCCAATATGCACAGAACATCTTGTTCCTTTCCTCTTCTGTGAGGGACTTTGTATGAATCTCTTAGGTTCCTCTTTGTATCCTAGTTTCTCTGGTGGTGTGAATTATAGGCTGGTAATCCTTTGCTCTATCTCTAAAATCCATATATGAGTGAGTACATACCATGTTCATCTTTTTGTGACTGGGTTACCTCATTCAAGATGGTTTCTTCAAGTTTCATCAACTTACCTGCCAATTTCAAGATTCCATTGATTTTTTTCACATTGGCATTCCATTGTGTAAATGTACCACATCTTTATCTATTCTTCAGTTGAGGGGTATCTAAGTTGCTTCCAGGTTCTTGTTATTACAAATAATGCTGTTATGAACATAGTTGAATGGACGTTTTTGTTGCATGGATGTGGATCATTTGGGTATATGCCTAAGAGTGGAATTGCTTGGACCTATGGTAGACTGATTCCCATTTTCCTGAGAAACTGGCATACTGATCTCCAAAATGGCTGTACAAGTTTGCACTCCCACCAGTGGTGGAGGAGTGTTCCACTTTTTCCAAATCCTCTCCAGGATAAGCTGTCATTGGTGCTTCTAATTTCAGCCATTCTGACAGGAGTAGGATGGTATGTCACAGTTGTTTTGATTTGCATTTACCTGATGGCTAAAGATGTTGAGCACTTTCTTAAGTGTCTTTCACCCATTTTGTATTCCTCTATTGAGAATTCTCTTTCTGTACCCCACTTTTTAATAAGGCTATTTGGTGTTTTGGTGACTAGTTTCTTTTTTTTTTAGTTTGATATTTTTATTTATTTTATATAACCAAGTCCATTTAAATGAAAACAAACATTTATATACAATATTTGGGAATTTGGGAGTAGTTCTTTCCAAACTACTTCCTGCTGGTAAGGGGCGCTGTCATGGGGGATTCTAAGAAGATGCAGAAATCATGGCTTTAGTCTGTAAGGCTGCTTTCTCCAGCTGTTTTGAATGTAGGATCACGTGGTACTCTGTTTCAGGCTGTCTGGCTGGATCAAACCACATTAGTCTGGAAGGAATCCACAGCTTTTCATTTTCTGTGGAAACAAAAATAGAAATCGTTTTCCCCAGTAACTTGTCCTTGAACTTATATTTTGGAGTCAAAGCATTTTTTTTTTAAATTTAATTTATTATTTTACATGTCGATCCCAGTTCCCTCTCCCTCCCTTCCTCCCACTTTCCCTCTCTCCCTCTCTCCCTCCCTCCTTCCCTCCCTTCCTTTTACCCTCTCTGCCCTCTCACATGCACTCTAACCACCCTCCCCTCCCATCCCCCCACCCCAATTCCATATGTAGGGGAATGCCATCCAGTTGAGGTCATGTAGATCTGACAGTTCATGTGAAGTAGGGACTGGGGCTTCTCTCCTGTCTCTAGATTAAGGCAGTTATCCCTCCATGGGGAATGTGTTCCCAAGGTCCTTTTGTGCACCAGGGATACATCCTGGCTCCACTGTCTGAGGTCCCTTAGACTGCTCACTCCTTCTGGCTGAGACCCATATTCAGGGGGGCCTGAGTCAGTCCCATGCTGGCTTTCCAGCTATCAATCTGGGGGCCACTTAGCTCCTCCTTGTTCAGGTAAGCTGTCTCTATGTGTTTCTGCCGCCTGGTCTTGTCCTCTCCATCTGCATCTGAGTTCTACTTCAACTCAGTGTTTATGTATGGGTGTTTGTTCCTGTTTCCCACAGGCATTAGTTGAGGGCTCCATGGATAAGTTAGTTGTGGATCTCACTATCCGGGAAAGGCATTTATGGTAGCCTTTCCAAAGAAGCTCTAATTTTTAGTTGGCGGCAGTCTTGTAGTTCTCCAGACCTTTCTTTGTGTTCAATTTTATCTTCAAACCAATATTGGCTCCCTCCTTTATGTTCTCTCTCTCTCTCTCTCTCTCTCTCTCTCTCTCTCTCTCTCTCTCTCCTGTCTTCTATTCCTAACCGGGCTCAATCTTCCTGGTCACACGTGTTTTCCTTTCCTCCCCCTCGTTTTCTCCTACTTCTCTCTCCATTCGCTGCCCCCCCCCCACTTCCCCTGTGCTCTGGGGGACTTGTCCCTTCCCCCTTCTGTGAGGGACTTTATGTGAGAATCTTAGAATACACCTTGTATCCTAGTTCCTCTGGTGGTGTGAATTATAGGCTGGTGATCCTTTGATCTAGGTCTAAAATCCATATATGAGTGAGTACATACTATGTTCCTCTTTTTGTGA